CAAAGGAAAATTGCGGTGTCGATGCGAGCGATCGAGTTCTGTCAGTTGTTTAGTCATAAATTCCGCAGTACGAGTCTGAGTTCGACGATCAAAATGGTAAAAATTGGAAGGGCTCCGATTTAGAACGATATAAAAGAAATAAAAAAAACAAAAAAAAACATGATGTATGATCAAATACCAAGAACTCCTTTCGCTGTAATTATTCATGGACTGTGAAAGTGAATTGATTGCGATATGTACAAACATTCACCGTCGCGTTTCGCCGTGCTACAGCCATTAATATTAAGACAATTCGACAAAGCTAAGAGTCGTACAATCGTATTCCCATGATGCCGCTTCGTCCCGATAACGTTCTCCATCTCGTCGATTTATCTCGCGGGCGTTTGTCGATGGGGTGCGCGAGCTATCATACTGTGCGTCGAAATATTCATGGCATAGAGACGCGGCGGAAATAGACATATATATATATATATATATGCACGCAGACGGATGAAAGACACGAGAAATAGCCTCCAAGGGCGGTGACGAGGATATTGGTCTCGAAATGCGGATCCTTCGGGGTGGAGTGCGTACTCGTAGGGAGTGCCGGGGGTGCGTTTTCTCGTGCAGACGGTTTCTCTCGTGCGTTCCGGGACTTGGAGGATCGATCCTCGCGCTTCTTCGGGCTTCCCTCCATTTGGGACGGACATCTTCCTCTCGTGGACCGGACTGGTGAGGAGGAGGATCCTCCTCGTCCAGCCCTTTCGAGCACTGATCGAACGTCTCGAGACACTCGCTTCCGAGTATCTCGTGCTCTGCTGCTCTTCGCCCTGCCTTTTTTTTACTAACTCCGAATGAATAACGTGAGGTGTGAGTAATTTTACGTCGACCGAGATAGTTGAAAGCTTTGGTGGCACTTGAAAAAGAGATGTATCAGTTATAAAAGGAACTTAGTTTACTTTTTGCGCCATGGCACACGGAAGTATTTCTCAAATAAATAACGAAATTCAAGTGGATATTCAAAGCACCTCACATTACTCGAGGTATTGTACTTCGGAATATTATGTGCTCAGAATTAGCAATCGAGCGACGATTGTCTGAGTTATAGAGATCTTTACTTCATTGAGAAGGCAGCTTGATGTATAAGAATAATCAAGATTATAATGCCACAAATAAAATACGGAAATATTTCCCACAATAATATTATACTCAATTATATGAGACGTGAAGAAGTTATTAAATTCTGTTGTAATTAAGAAATGAAAAATATTGTCACAGAAATAATAAATAATCTTAAGACATAAGATAATTAAATAATGTCTTTGTACGTTTCAGAAATAACGAAGCAAATGTAAAATTTATGTCAACTAATAGAGAGGAAAAGCGTGCTGGAAATAAAAATTAATTTGATATGTTAGAATTGAATTATGCAGAAACAGATATCTCAAATTATCACGATTAGTCTAAAGTTTCATGTTACTGTATAAAAAATTTGACATAATTATAATAAATTTGATCTGTAAAAAGATATTTAAATCAATTTCTGCTTTTAATTTTAATGACAATCGTCCCTCGTTTACCGATGATTATCAATAGCACACGATTAAATAGCAATTAAATGTTATCATGAATTGTCATCTATTATTCAGACAATTGACGGCTATTAAACCGTGATAATCGCGAAAGGACTGTCTATATCAATCAACCAAATATATCCTTCTCAATCAATTGTGATTAAAAAAAAAAAAATAAAATAAAAAAATATAATCAAACGATAGGTAGACACAATTGTGCGTCAAAATGGAAGGAAAAATCGAGAATGGTTCTTCATGCCGAAGATTCGATCGTATGCAACAACAAGGAGTAATTTAATTCGATTGCGGAGTAGTTCAAACGTTTAAATAAATTTCGTGTTCGACAGCGGCACTCTTCCTCGTTTCTCGCCTTCCTTCCTCCCTCATTGCTATTCATACATCCACCGTCTGGTTGTTCGATATCTTGGGGAAAGAAGAACGGAGGATGGCGAAGGGCCGGCCCATTTAAAGTCGCGCTTCCAATCTCAATTCAAGATCCCGATCTACATACCGGGCGGATCGTTTCGTATTACAGGCTCAAACGTCTCGTTTATTTTTAAGCTAGCATGAGGCCGCGATGTCGTAAGAATCGCGTCGCTTTCAAAGGCACGTAAAAAGAAATTTATTCGCGAGATTTAAGATCTTTTCTATCCGTAAATATTTATTCCAATTTTGAAAATAAAAGCTTTAGAAAAAATGTGTGCGGAGAAATGAAAATATTTAAAATATAAAATTCAAAGAATATTGTTCTGAATCCATGATTGAGATTTCAATTTTGCTACTTAAATATTTTTATATATTCTGGAAGAGAGAAGCATAAAATTGCACTTACATTAGAGCAATGTGAGCGAACGATGGAATCTTCGACAGTGAACGATTAAACTTTATACGAGATAATTGTCCAATTCCAATTTAAGTTTAGAATTTTACCTATCGATGCACAAAAGTTTTAACGTCTTATTTCGAAAATTTTTTCTTATAAAGAACTAATTGCATCAAGCTTATTGGATAACAGGTTTCTGAAGAATAATTTGCCATTTAATCCTGCTTATGAGTTGTCGCTGAATTGTATTAGTTTGTAGTTGTTGGCTCAATAATTGAGATAACATATAAAAATTAATTAAAAAATGTAGCGAAGGTACGCAGAATTTCTTCGTTTCGCGAAATAAAATTGTTTCGCCGAGAGCTAAAGCTAAATTCTTTGTACGTTGTGTTTGCAGCATTGAGGCTAATTACGTTATAACATTGTTTCCGTCATAATTAATTGTTTGCTTACGGTTCCGTGCTAAAAACTGCTCTCGGCCAGTCACGCATTCCATAATTGTTAATGCTGTCATAGAGTATGTATGCCGCATTCATCGCTCGCATATGCATCATTGGCGCGATTCATTCGTCAAACGCATCGCAAGAGACACATTTGTCACACATGCGTGTGATGCGTGTAAATATATACTTACGTCTCGTGTGCGGACAACCGCACACTTGAGTCTTAATGTTGCCTTAAATTATGATTGCGTGGCATGAGCGGAAGCGTACATCGATCCTGGACGTACAGTCAATATCAGTAATAAAAATAAAACAAAAATTAGCGTAAAAGTGCGATAAATTTTAAAATTATTAATTTTTAGAAAAGATAAAAATATCGATTTTCAATTGATGTGTTACAAAGTTATATGTTTCTTTATCGTGTTATAAAAATATATAAAGTATCATAAAGTGCGCTAAACTTTCTATTATCATTTCTATGGAAATAATAAGATATGGTTTCAAATATTATAAAAAAAGAATAAAGCAATTCTAAAAATTATAATAAAATATTTCCGTTTTAATATTAAAATATTTAAATAATGTTTTTACTGCGAGTCTTGTAATTAATTTAAACACTTCTTTTTATATAAAAAATTATTATCTCTAAGCAGTTGCATGAAAATATATGTCTGAATATATCAATTATTGTCTATATTAAAATTAAAGTTATCTTTATTTTAATGCTTTTAATTCTCTTTTTAGTTAGTTTTAGTTATAAAAAAAGCTTATCCGTTGGTAAGTAATATTCTCTGACGAGCCTTAAACACCGCAGCATCACTTAAAAGTAATTGCTGTGCCGAGCAGCATTCTACGTTGCTCGCAACTTTGACACCCAAAAAAAAAAAATGAGACGATAACAGGAAGTGGCTTCAGTTTAGTACGCGGCAACTCTCACCCGGAAGTCCGCTCTAAACGTGAGAGTGATGCTACGATGAACCTTCTCGTTTATGCACTTTGTTGATAACAAACTTCGCACATTGTTGCGAGAGTACTGTCGATTATGCTCATAAACCATGTTATATCCATGTTACGACCATCGTAATAGTTGTTAGTAAACGTTAAAATTAATCTGTTAATTTTGGTAATTAACGGATCAAAAATTTTATATTTTCATCAAATATTTTAATAATTTAATAATTTTATGACATATAATTTAATAATTTAATGCTTTAATAATATACACTATATGTGTTTTAGGATTCCTATCAGAAAATATAAAAAATTATTCTTACTTTAAATTATTTAATTAAATAAAATAAAATAATTGTTTTAATTGTGGTAAAATATAAAACTTTCAGAAATTCAAACTTATTATTTATTATATTTTATTTTTGAGATGTAAGATAATAAATATATGTAAATAAAATAAATTTCTGAAATATAATGCGCAAAAAATTGAATTTTTCTTTCAAAAATGCAATCAATTTTTGCCAATTAAAATCCAGGTCTTCATCATTGCAATTTATAGCTGTCTAGGATCGACGCAGACGCTCCAATGCATACATCGACAGAAAGAAACCAAATAAGAATTCTGTACAAGATACACACAGACAGACACGCAAAAGTTAACCCCGTAAACTCAACGTAGATATATATGATAGAATAAATTTCTTATATAAATATATCCAAAATTACTTCACAACACCGACAATCGCCTTTTACAAGGTGCTAATAATAATTATACTCGTTCATTCATGTCACAACAGTTTGCTCGAATCCCAATTCACGATAAAACTTATTAAACAAAATCCCGTACACGTAATTGCATGTCACGTAACGTGCGTTTATGCACATCAATACAATTCGATCAATAAACGCCGGATTATTTATCCGACATTAAATTGGAGAAGGTATTTAATCCGGTAACTGCACTTACAATTAGCAATAAATTTGCATTTACAATGGCATAACTTTTGTACGATTAACAATTTACTTTAGTCCTCTGCAATAGAACAAATTAAATCCTGATTTTTGATTTTACAATTAAATTGTAATGTTTGCTTTGGATGGTGACATAAATTTAATACACCACACACACACACACGCGCAATTACGTGTACGATGGAAATAATTATGAACACATGGATAGAGAGAGAAAGAGAGACAACTTTACAAATCGTATATTATAGTTGGACTTACCAACGCAGGGATTGCGATTCACCATCGAGAAGATTTTGTCGCATTTCTTGCCATGAAGATTAATCGGACATATGCAGCCGAACATCGGTGATAATCGCAGTTGAGTCCAGGACTCATGGCACGCATCTCTGAAACGATAATGACATAATATGTAATTAAATATTATAACATTTTGCGTATGCTGCAAATTTTAGAATAAATGTAAAATTCAATAAAAATGTTTAAAATATTTATCACATAAATATATTTATGTGATAATGCGTTTGATATAAATATGTATAAATATTCAATACAGATTTGTTTGACAAAGTATATAATATATATATATATATAATAATATTAGAGATTATAACTTAATAATGAAAAGTGAGTAAAATGCATTTAAAGAAGGTTATCTTTGCAAATAAAAATTTCGTATTACACGTTCAAATGCATAATTCGAAATCCCATTAAAGGGTCACTGTGGCGCATTGTAATTGTGACCCCTGCTAAACATTATTAATTAATCGCGATGTATTCCCGCTTCGCCTTTGGCCATGTAAATCTCTCGCGCGGAGGATTAATGACTAGCCATCAAATATCGGCGTTTTGCCAAGTACATTGACCTACATCTGCGCCCCAATAGCCGTTAATAAATATTAAAATACGCAAACTCCGATATTCACCGAGCTGCCTTCAATATTTCGCAATATTTTTGCGCACGTCTGTGTTCCAATAATCCGCGGTAATTGCAAGACATTATCGACGGGATACATATCGGAATTTCAATATGCGCATAATTAGTGATTGTTATCCGTGTATACTAATACAACATGGAAATAATGGTATGTTTTTTTATAAATCCGCCAATTTTTAATAGCTCAATAGTGAAATTGTAAATAATTAAATTTTTATGATAATTCACGAGATTAAAATGAGCTTCACAATTTCTGATTGAGTTAACGGAAACTCGATGCTGTTATTAAAATTACAATAAAATATTGGGTTTAGAATTATTTGACCTCAGGTATTAAATAACACAAAAGTATGAATACATAATAGCAATAAATCATACGCATGTGTAATTTAATATTTGTTCCTGTGAAGCTACCTGTGACATCGATTTTATTATTTTAAAATTTGAATGAATATTTTATTTTAGTCATTATAAATATATATTTCTAGAAAATTTGTGCGGATTGGAATCTATGAATCAGCGCTATTGCCTTTTAGATTAGAATTGGAAAGCGATATTTTGAACATTCCCAGAACAGAACTCAATATTGCAAGCTCTATATTATTGAAAATTTAAAAAAAAAAAAAAAAACATTAAATATTTATTAATAAATATAAGTTTTATATTGTTCTATATAGTAATAATAAATAGTACACAAAATATTCAATTGAATAAATTGCTATAAAAGATATAAATCTTAATAGAAAAATTTTTTACAAATAAAAATGTTTATGATTTTTATTTGTTAGACAGAGTATTATAAATACATATAATATTGTTCAATAATATATTTTTAACTTTGACGCAACACTTTTATAGATAGAACAACGATTACATTTTCTAGTTTATTCGTAAAAGAAACTCGCCTAATTTATGAAATATAATTGATTTAATTATATGAAATGTAAAAACTAAAATTGGATTAAAAAATTGATACACTATTATTATTAGTCTTCCGAGTAATTTTCCCTCATCGATATATTTTTGTTTTTATTTCGGTTTCGATTTTTTCTTCTTATTTTAGGTTCAATTCACGTACACATACACGTTACAGATTACAGATAACATTGAAAAACTTCGTTCATCATAGCTGTAAATCGTAGTTCCTTTTCTCTGTCATAGAACTTTTGTTAGCTTCGTGAACCCAATCGTGGTTACACTCTGAGCCACATCTAGCACGAGAACTGAGATCAAGAATCGAAAACTCAACTCTTTCCTCCCTCTTTTTCCTTTTCCAAAGCTAACGTAAAAACTTTACGCGAGTTTCTGACCAATCGATTGCCGAACTTACACCGGAACACTTAACGGACTTTCCCTGCACACCGATATTTCGCCGCTCGATGTACCTAATAATGCACCAACTGATTAAAATTTCTTCGTTAATAATGAATAATTTTCAATTATTTTGTAATATACAAAAAAAATGAAAAAGAAAGAGATATTAAGTTCAATTACAAAATTCTAAAGTATTTATTATTTGGTGTTTCTTCAAAGATACCTTTAGTATCTGTAAGCTATTCGTGTGCTGTTTTAAATACAACTTGAGCAAGATAATTAGGATAAATTAAAACTCACTACAATAACGATAATTAGAAACGTGTGTTAATAATAGAGCACAGCTAAATATTGATTGCTAAATAAAAATAATAATGTTGATAACAATTTTATAATTAATTTATTTGCTAGCTCTCGTAAAAACGTCCTTTAGCATGCATTTCGTGATGTTTAATCTGCAATCTTAGGCACTTAGCCTAAATTTTTCTTGTTGAGTCAATGCCGTACTTTGGTCACTTTTATCGAAAAGAATAAAAAAAAAAATGTGGGACACGAGCGCTTGGGGAGAGTAAAGGGTAGGTAAAGGGAAATTCGACGTGGAGACTCAAGCTCAAAATTATTTGGGTTAATGGTACATACGCTACGATGAATCTTGCTCGTCGAATTAGAGGTCAAAGGAAGCAAAAGCGAGCGGATGGTAAAGCTAGAACTGAAGAGATGGCGAGAGCGAGGAAGGAAGATGCATCAAAGGGTGCAAAGGTCCACATAAGAACGAGAACGCAAGTCACGTTTCATTCCACATCACGTGATTTTGTTTGACCTCCCCTTCTTTCTTTTTGAATATAATGCTGCGAGAAATTTTATTATTGTATCATAGTGTTAAAGTATTTTATTATTTATCCTTATAAAAACTATTCACGTATGCAATTAATTTCAAAGCAGAAATAAGTAATATGTTGCTTTACAATTACTTGATTGGTTCTCTAGTCCTGTCGATAAATTTTACATTTTAAATTTGGTTATTTTAAAGTAATTCAAATTTATTATCATAAATTATTGAATGTTAAAAATTACATCATGAATAGATTAAAATTAATCGTGTATGTAATAACTTATACTTTCGCAATATGAGAAATATATTTTTTATTTCAATCTTCAAATAGATTCTTGTGAAAGGTTAAAAGTCAAAGTCGAAATTCACAAATGTTTAATATAGATACTATGATCACAAAGTCACACGTAAAGAAATCTCCGTGACCTCTTCTTTCATATACAATGTCCCTCAAGATGTAGCCAAGTTTACGGTAATCTCATACATAAATTAAATCGGAAGTGACAAGCCGCAGGACTTTTTCGAGCGAACTTTATCATATAGACGGTGCAAACTTCGCGATTGCTACAAAGAAATCAGTGCAACCTCGTGACCCTGTTGATTTTTAATCGACTCTGTAGTTGTAGGAAAATTTTGACATATATACTTCTTGAATTCAGCTTCATTTATATAACAACAAAATATTTACTTCTTTATTTTGCAACAAATTATCTTACTTGGCGCTCGCTAACAATCATTGTTATTCCATCTTCGTTACACTTGATCGCTTTGCTACTACTGAATTCAAGTAGCAGCTGCGAATTTCGCGCAGCACCGCGCAAAGTTTCAGCAAATTTCGCGACCCAGTGACCCGTACGTATACGCCATCGGCGTAAATAAATCGTACCACGGCAATGTAAATACATGCACACATATATAACCGGTTGAAATAAAAAAAAAAATAGTAAATAAGAGATTCGTGATTATCATATGCCGAAATCTTCGATCTGAAAATTCGTCGGTTCTGCGTCTTGTAGTTCGATCAGTAAGTGGCATATTTGTTTCCGTTTCATCGATCGAGGAAATTGTTCCGATTGAGGAAATTGTTTCGATAGAAAGTTTACTTCCTAAAACAATTCATTCTCTCTCTCTCTCTC